CCGTCCCGATACACCACCCAACGCACACCTGCGCCGGCGTATGCCTATTTAAATGCACGCGCGACCACGCCGTCGTCAAGCAAAACGCGTTGACGAGCGCACATAAAACGGCAAGCAGCGTCGTATGCCGGTGCTCTTCGCCAGCGTACCATCTGTAGCCTAGCGCCACGTAAAAGTATGTGGCGAAGAAGGTTGTAGTTTGGGTGTGGGAGGATGGCATGCCGTGGATTGAAGAGGCGAAGACTTTTTTAATGACGCGCCGTTTGCTGTGATGGTGTTTCTGTGGTTGTGGGTTTGAGGAACCGGCGGTGGATCCTTGAATGTGTTCCGTTACTTTTGTTTCAACCCATTTGCCGTCTCGTTGCTCTTCCTCGATTTCTGTTACGACGGCCGGGCGCGGTTGTTTGATGATGCCTTTCAAGACGCGAGCTGCAGCAAATTAGGAAGCCTTAGTAAATGTATCGTTAAGATAAAACACCTTTTTTATCTTTCGTCACATACCAAGTAAGCTACAGGACAGTCCGCCAGCCGTGCACCACAAAACGTGCGGAGACTGCGTATATAGAATTGTCGCCGCGACTACGGCGGTAACCGAATACCGTGCGTGCTTGACCAGGCCAAAGAGAGCTGAACGTTTGCGCATAGTATGGTGGTGGGAAAGCGGCTTGCGGGTCAAGCGGAAATGGGAAGAAAGCAATTTGCGAAATGCGCCTGATCTCACGCTTCGCGGTCACGGTGACGCCGACCGCTTGCGTCATTGCAACTGCGCTTCCCTGTGCAGCTGATAACCAACAAATACCGAAGAGAGATTACGCGGGACGGAAAATCCGTTCATTATACTGGACTTTACCGAAACCGGCGCGGGAACGGATATCTGGGACCAATGTCCTGTCTACTATGAAATTTCAAATCTGACAGCCGGGAACAGTGTGCTCACAACCGCCACGTCTTTGGAAATCAAAGATGATATGTAAAATCATACTATTATTTGCGAAAGGGGCAGATGAAAGGAAGGAGCACCGCTCGCGCTCAAGCCTTCGTGGCGTCCGCACCAGCAGCGGCTGTTGTCCGCTCAGCCGAATCCTTCAGTTCCAAAGTCTCGACCGTGCCGTCATCCGGGAGCGCAAAGGATCGCTCGCTAATGTGCGGTCGACTGGGTGCCTTATTGAGTACAAGGGTGCGGTTTGTCCAGGCGCCTGGAATGACGGAACTTGGTCTGCGCTGGTCGGCAGGAGCGGTGCCCTCGGGCACGGCGGGCGGGTCAAACTTTTTGGACTTGTACATGGTTGGGTCCGAAAGCTGGCGCGATGGATGTGTATACTTGCAATTTTCTCTCTAACAAATTGGGTGAAATACCGCAGGTCAGCATGCGCGTAATGAATTCGTTCGGTCCTACTAAGATGCACATACCGAGCAAAGTGGCTCAAATTTGCACACTTCCGTGGTTGTTGGTGTAGTGTTCAAAGCGCTTCCATTGGCACTCTTTGGCAGAGGGTGGAAATAAGGGCACGCCCGGTTGGTGCAGTTTGGGTAGAATCGGCATTGGATTTTTGCCAAGTGCGACGACGCCGGGCTTGGAGGCTGGTGTGCCCCTCGTCCGTGAGCGCCCCGCGGCGCGCCTCCATAACCCTGGTACGCTCCACCACGGCCGTAAACTCCACCGCGGGCCCCACGCCCAGCGCCGCGAAAATGTGGGTGGCCGAACGCACAATAGGGCCGCGTGCAAGCCGCACCAAAGCGACACGGCGTCTGGCCGGCGTCCGGGTGGATGTATCGGCAGGCTGCGGCTTTGTCACAGCCTGGGTAATCCGGGCATGCGGTTGTTGGGTGGTGGAACTGACACTGATCGCCGCGTTGGCAGTTTGGCCAGTATGTGCACCGAGGAGTGACGGGCTCACCCGCTGTCGTCGAGGATGCGCTCGCTGGCGGTGTGTCCGTTTTCAGCAACTTGCGTGACGGCTCGGCGATGCCATTCGCGTCACCTGCTGTGATGCCACCGTTTTCACTCGCGGACCCTGCTTTCCGTTTTACTCCTCCGGCCGCGCTAGTGTCATGCTGAAAAGCATCCTGAGTCTCCTCGTCGGCGGCCTCCACAGCATTTGTGGACCCACTCGCAGCGCGATCTCTTCGCGGGTGCACTTCTCGGTCGTCATCATCTGTATTCCCCAACTCACTATCACTGTCTTCAAATGTGAGCCGCAAACGCGGCAACGTCTTACCCAGCTCGTCGTCGGATTTCGCATCCAAAGATATGACCATGGATGAATAATTGGGCCCTGGGTCGCCGCCAATTTCAAAGTACTTTGATATCCAGTCGCTGATGTGGGCGGCAGTTTCGGGCGCCGCGACTTGAAGAATGTGAAAACAGAAGTGAGAAGTCTAATCGCACATTTGCATGTTCATGCGTTTTCAATCCTTGCCATGCCGGCGTTGGTTTTCTCGCTAGACGACGCTCTTCAAATGCTAACCCACCTTCCAGGAGATCGGCGGTGAGTGCTTCCTTCTCCTTCGTCATGGTGACGAGCAGGATGCAGTACTCGAGAAGGGTGGTGTTGTCCTCATTCTCCGGGAGGTGCGCAGCGAGCATAGCAGCGAGAGCATCCTATGATGGAGCACACATAAGTAAGGGATGCAACAGCAGGCCGGTGCGTCGCTTATCGAAGTGTCACTTTAAAGGCGGTGTCCACGTTATCCATTGCTGGCTACTGTGAGGGTATGCGTGCGGAGACAGCGGGCAGACAGAAAGGAGGGCGACCTTTTGGCGAGCGACGACGGTGAAGAGCGGCGACGTCGGCGAAATGGCAAAGGGATGGGGCAGGGAAATCCAAACTCACGTTTGCAACTTCGCTCTTTGATTTTCTGGCCAATTCCTCTCGGTTCTCCCCAACTGCCCCACTTCTTAGTCTTTACGCTTGATGGCCATGGCAACTTCCTCACCCGCTCCAGCTGCCGCGGATAAGCGGCCTTCTGACCAGGAGATTGTTAATACCGTATGTGCTATGCAAAGTTCGCTGGTCTTTGACTGATCTTGCTCTTCAACGCTAAATTCCATCACCGACCCTGTAACTCACGCGCTGCAGCTCAACGCTATGAAGCAAGAGATGAACGCTATTGCATCGAAGCTTGGGGAGTTGGAAATGGAGAAGGACGAACACCAGTGCGTTTGACAAATCCTATCAACACTGCTCGCCATTGCGACCATACTGACGCGGCTCGGTTTTGCCTCGCTTGATAGATTGGTTATTGATACAATCAAACCTCTCGAGCCAACACGAAAGTGCTTCCGATTGGTCGGTGGAGTTTTGGTAGAGCGAACGGTCAAGGATGTCCTTCCCGCCGTGGAGACCAACATGGAGGGCGTAAGTTTGGCTTGCGCAGTCTCGGGCGAAGGAGCTTACTGACCAACAACATTTTGCGCCATGACATATTCAGATTCAAAATATAATCAAGCAACTGCTCGCCAACTACAAGAAGAAGGAGGCCGACAGCGAAGCATACCAGAAGAAGTGGGGAGTGCAGATCAAGGAACAATAAATGTGGCGTCCTTTGACGCCTGCTTGGTCGGCAGCGTGGTACGGCAGGTTGCCATTGTGAAGCCGCAGTGCCGTGTTGCGCAGGGCGCGGTGTGGGCGCGTATACTCGAGCTCCGGGCGGTGCCAGTGCCGCAGAGCGCCAAATTTTTGCATCTAGTTCCCGCATGTCCAAGCCTCGACGCCAATCCCTAACACATGGATTGCTGCCAGTTCTTGTAAATATTAACGTGAAACAAATCGTTGCGCTGCTGCTGCATGACGTCCTGTGAGGTTGCGTTGTCACCATGGAATGGTACACGAAGTATACCAGGCCCGTACTTTCACTGGCCCAATCTGAGATCTGCTACTGTCCTCCAGCTTATGCGGCTTGTGCCTCCGCGGCAAGTTCCTCTTGCTCCTTTCGTTCTAACTCTGCGTAGTACGCAGCTTTTTCACGCTTCCAGTTTTCGGAATGCCGAAAAATGGCAATCATGCCTGGAGTCAAAAGTGACTGCTCCTCGTCTTCATCTTTGTATTCTTCGTCGGGGCCCATGTCGTTATGCTCTTCTGCCTGCGCGTTGATCGGGTCCGTGTCATCCGCACTTTCTGCATGAGCCATGTCCTCCGTCGTTACGTGCGGATGTGAGGCTCTACCATTCATTGCAGCATCAGGTCGCGGCTCGTGCTTGCAGTAGTCGGTCCAGTATTCTGCGCAGGGACCGCAAAGGCGGGACCAATAATCACTGTCATCGACGGATGCGACTGGGCTTGAAAAGGGGAAACGATGTCGCGCGGCAGTGCCAAAGTGCCGCGAGTGAAAGGCAGCAAGCGCAGACGCCGTTCTGCTCGGACCAACGGCATGCCCGGTTGGAGAACCCTCCGTTCGAGGCTTCTTAGCAGGTCCCTATTGAGTGATTCACGTTAGTCTCGCAAGAAGCGCTGAAACCTTTTGGAAGACTACTACGTATGCCTACCTCTGAACTCTCTTCATCATTAGCTCTCTCACGCTTAAGACTCGGCGCTTCTTCCGTGGCAGCGCTAACCGCCGCTGGAGGAGGGTATTTGCGCCGCACGTTCTTGCCATCTTTGCTCAGCTCCAAAAGCGCTGGGCTCTTGATCAGTGCGGCCGAAACGACCTTGACACTATCCGAAAGCGCCCGCAGTTTTTTGAACGTGCATAGCACGCGTATCGGCACCCAATTCCCGTGCAGCTCAGCGATTTGGTGGAGGTGTGTATCCTTTGGATAGTTTTCATCTAATCGAGAACATTCTATCTAGTCAGCAAATTGGAGGAATGCTTCGCAAATCCTGCTAGTGACTTTTACCGCCAAAGTAGTACTCGACTTGCTTGAGAATGGCGTCGTGCAGCTCGTCTTTGCTCAGGGCAGGCGCCTGCTGTTTTGGTGGTCGTTTGTGCAAACCCATTACAGGTGAGATAGGATCGACGGGCGGTTGAGAGACAAAAACCAAAAAAACGAAACCCCCAAGTTCTGGGTGCGGGGATCGAACCCGCGATGTCCGCATGTCTTGTATACAAGGATCGCTTATATAAGAACGGCGCCGTAACCACTTGGCCAACCCAGGATGTTTGAAAAAAACCTCAACTACTCTGCACTATATCCGCTCCCTCCTCGCTCCAAAGTACCTACTACAGACATCTCTTGCACACACTTCACTCTACTATGCGCAACGGGTTACGCACTCTCTCGCACATTGTGCATGTGACGCTTGCCTTATCAACCGTCACCTGCGATTCTCGCGAGATCAAGTTCACCGGCGCAGCCAAGTCCAAGCAAGGCATAGCACTATTGTAGCACACGTAGTTAAACCCCGCCTTCGTTGTCCTCTAGAGTCTTCCAACGCAGAATTCCCATTGTATTGCTCAAGCTCTTGTCCCGACTTGTTCCCAGTCCCGTCCACGATGAACCCCTCCTCAGATCCTGGTTCCTTGTCCCGCTACGCGGTTAAGGCCTCGGACGACCTCCTAGCGGATCGTCACAGTGCACGGCTAATGCTTCTCTTACCGCGCCCGGCGCGCCAGCTAATGACGACCACCGTCACAACCGTTCGCCATCCTTGCACGCACTGCGCACATCTTACACATCGCTAAACACAATCTTGCTACTTCCTACCACAGCCGTTCCACCTTCCTCGAACTACGCCTCCTTTGCCGGGATGGGTCGTGTGCCTACGCACACGGTAAAGCTAAGTCCTGTCCTATTGTCGTTGATGGGGGGAATCTCCAGGAGTTCCAGACAATAAGACGCACTTTCATCCCATCCCAACGGTATCGTGGTAACGTTCTCTCCTCTCTTACCCCAGACCTCAGCGGTTGAGCGACACGGACTCCTCGCCATTCACAATAGTGCATGAGTGGAGGAAGTGAGGTGGACGCGAGGGTCGCTTCGAGCTGGATGCTCTCCCCCTCTTTCTTTCCCCTCCTCGTCGTCCTAGGTTCACGGAAAATGAATGCGACGTCTCCGCTATCGCGTCCTACAGCCACGCGGTCCTTCCAAGCAGGCGGAGCTACCCAACCCGCGTTTTCCGGAGCTTCACAAGAGACACATATGCAGATGGGGCGATGGTCTTCTATTGCACTCGAAAACTACGTACGACCGCGACCGGAACTCATACTTGCGGGCGTTCTCGATATCCCTGTGGACATGAGTTAAGTTCTATTAAATGCGCACAATACTGTTTGCTGTCGGGCTTGCGCCGCCTGAGTCTTTTTCACTGTATACTTTTCTTCAATACACATTTATCAACCAACCAAGCGTTTATTGGCGGGCTTCGGTTGGCTGGCTGCATGACGCGCTCCGAGCATCAGGCGTCATGCCTCTCCCTTGCGCGGACACTGAGCTTGCATCTCCCTCGTGCGGACCACAGGCTACTGTCTCCCCCTTGTGCGGACGCTAGGCATGAGCCTCTCCCTTGTGCGGATCTCTCTTCTTTAGGTTCAGCTTGCCATCAGGCGGATCACACGGCATCGATGTTGGGGGGACGCCGCGCAGATCCTCCTTCTGCAATACATCGACATACCCTCCAAGACGGCAGCAATCAGTGACGTGGCTATCCTGCAAGGCAAGACGCCGACGTGTCCTCGTAGTCAGCAGAGAGCTGACGCAGTGGATAAAGGAGAAGGCCAGACGCGTTGGGGCTATCCTTGTTCTCCCAGCGCCTTTCCCCCCTCGAGCAGGATAGCCGTTTTCGGAACCACCCTCCCACCCTACTCTGTTAGTCTCTAGATAGCATTTCTCCTTGTTGATAAGAGGGGGGGACGCCGCGCACACTCTGGAAAACCGAGAAGGAAGCCGTGTCTCGCGGTGCCGTACTATACTTGCTCCAGGTCATGGGCGCGCCCACTCTCTCCAGCGGCAACCCCGGCCGCTGGGGTTGCCGCTGCTGTCAACCGCTCTCAGGCTGCTCTCTGTCCGCTCCCTCCCTCACCGACCGCTGTGGTCAACCACTCTGCGCTCCTGTCCGCTCCCTCCCTCGTCGCTCGCTGTCTGTTTGCCCGCTCACCTGTCTCTTTTGCTGTTTGTTCCATTGCTTCTCAATCGCTAAATCCCGTTCCGTCGGTCACTCCACAATGTCTGCGTCTCGGATTACCAAGTCTCACTTGGCCACACATTCCAGCAGACAGTCCTATCTCACTGCTACCCGCCAGTCAAGGTCACAACAAGAGTACCCAACCGCGACCTTGACTCTCGACGGCTTTGTCAATGCCGTTACCAGCACTGTGAAAGAGAGAATGGCGAGCCTCAACCAGGCGACAGCCGGGATCGATCAATCATTTCTTGATTTCCTCATGCCGCCTCCTGACGACCGGCTGATTAGAGCGGCAGAGATGCTGATGCACGTTCCTGTCAGCGTGAGCGACCGCGACATGGTCGATGCGCTCCAGCTGCAAGAAGTGGGACCTGATTTTGAAGCCATTGAAGGCTGGGAGTACTACTACATTCGAAGCTGGGCAATTGCGGCAGACGATCTTGGCCTCATCCTTGCGTACTGGGAGGAAGAGGGCATTCAAGCACCCGAAGCGTGGAGCTGGGCATTCAACGTGGCTGTCGGAACGACTGCAACAGCAGCAGCAGCAGCAGCAGGACCTCGAGTGTGCCATATTCGTTACGTTGGCAAGTGCACAGGCCCCTCTACTCCCTGGCAGCGCTTGCAAGACGATTTCAGGAGGGTTTCTGGCCTACTGCCCGAATTCTGCACTGCGCTCAACAAGTTTGCACCTGACGTCTACGAAAATGTCAAGGTTTACGAAGTGCACCGTGCGCGCCTCCAAGAGCACGCGGCGGATCATATCCGGGACAACCGCGAGCGGGCGTTGATTTCCTTTTTTGGACTCCCAACGCTTCTCAACCGCCAGCCTGGTGGGTTCTTTGCATCGTATGTTCCGAGCCTCACTGATCAAGGTCTGTTCGAATCTCTTGGGACAACATTGTTTGCGGCGTTCCGGATGGCGGCGAGCGGCGTTACAACCACCACTACGGACAGTATCCAGCTTCAGCAGAGATGGGGCACTCAGCTCAAAGACTGGGTGCTCGCTCATCCGACTGTGCTGGGAACTTTTGCGGCTCATTTTGAATCGCATTTCGACGCGGTTATTTTGCCACAAAGTCTTGTCACTCGAATCAACGGTCATGTGATTGCAGTTCTTGTGGGCAAGGACGTGACAATTGAGGACTACTTTGGAAATAAGCGGTTCCTGCAAGGAACGTCGCGAGCAGGCCATCTCACAACCAACTTTCTGGACCGGCTCCGTGCAACAGAAGAGTTCACGTTTGCGGCGGGTTGGCATCATCTCAGCAAGGCCCATCAGCCGCTGTTCCCCTTTGTGGACTTGTACAATTGGCCGGGCCGTCCCAGCCACGAATCGACAACGGCATGCCTGGATATTACAAGCACATATCTGCAGACAGTCTGCCCCATCATTGTCGTCACATTCTCTGCTCATGTCGCATCTTGCGCCCGCGGCAATTTTCTCCACGAATGGGGTCTGTCCTCACCCGACTTTCTGAATGCTGTGCGGGACGAGCATGGCTAGGATCTTCAGCGTTGGCTCCACCTGATGGATCACTCTTGCTGATGATTCCGCACGTGGATCCCGGTGTCGACAAATATGCGCGTCAGCCTGCGGTTCTCCGGCAAGTCCTGGATCTTACCTGGCAGCTTACATTGTACGCCATGAACTATGCGCTGCAACTGGTTCTTTCAGGCACGGTTGTGGCTGCAAGTGCGGGAGCAGTCCACGACCTCATTGTACGCCTTACCTTTGCCCACTGCAACCCTGCAAGTGCAACTCTTTTGGCGCCGCTTGCGAATCTGTATGCTCGCCTCGCAACTGCCAAGGCCGGTCTGGCACACTTCTGGGGTGTGGAGCAGCGAACCCGGCCTGCCAAGGGCCCTGGGTACCAGATGACAGCGACGGTGCGCGAGCGTAATCGTGAATCGCAAAAGGAGCGGGTACTGAGAGGAGAAGTGGCGGTTGGGGCTCCAGGCTCTCCGGACCGTATCAATCAAGTCCGCGCATTGTACAAGCTGCAGCTGCCAGACATTTTTCGCCACATTGACGACCCGGTGGCTCAACGGGATCAGTGGATGCAATGGGCATCTGCCCTTCCTCAGGGATCTCTCTATGCTACACACTCGCTCAGCGCCGCTTCCGTTGCTGCTGCAGCTGCCGGCCAGTTTGATCCGCTCAAAGGCGCTCTGGTGCCTTTTGCTCCTGACAATGCACTTGATGACTCTTGGATGAACGATCCCGTGCAACGGCAAGCGGCCCTGGACGCAAAAGGAGCGCAAATGCGGGCCAATCTTCCGGCTGATCAATTCAGCTCGACCCGACAGCGTGCTCGTCGCCTGGCTAGACTCAGGGACGACCCTCTTTACCACCACCACGCCATTCTTGAAGGCCAGCAGGTCATGATGCATGGAAATGGCAGGGTGGTCCTCCGCTGGCAGGACCCTGACGACGGCAAGCCGATCACCTTGTATATACGCACAAGCAAAAGCTTGGTTCCGACAATGGCTGGGAATCTCTGGACAGTCCACTTTTTGGCCGATGGAATAGGCCTTCGGGACGAGACCGGTGCAGACGTAATCCCGCCAGGGAGAGACGTAAGCCAAGCCTCGAGGGAAGGCATTCTTGCTCGTAAGAATTTCAAGTTTGCAGAGGATGGCGACACTCTTTTACGACTCTGGACAATCGAGCGCGCGCTGATCGAGGGAAGACCCGTTCCCTCTTTGCTTTCGGTGCCCGCAGGCCTTGCACCGGGGCCATCTTCTTTGCCCACCGCCATACGTGCCCCCGCGCCTCCTCCTCTGGTGATTCCAGGCGCACCTGGAGCTGCTGCTGTAGTTCCGGTTGCACCTGGAGCTGCTGCTGTAGTTCCGGTTGCACCTGGAGCTGCTGCTGTAGTTCCAGTTGCACCTGGAGCTGCTACGGTAGCTGGGCCTTCGACGGCGGTGTCTGCAGTGTCGCCATCCTCTCTTTCTCCTCAATCTCTGCGCTCTCGTCGTTCGTTTCTTGGGCAAGGTTTAGCGACAGCTCTTGTAGCTGCAGTGGGTCAAGCTGG